TATATATATATATATATATATATATACACACACACACAATATTATATTATTAATATAATAATGTAATGCATAAATATGTATAATTTTTCAAATCAAACATCAGAAAAAAAAGAAACATGCTAATTTAGAGCAAAAAGTTGATTGTTCAAACTAATATTTTTACTATACTTTGTGGTTTAATTTTTTTTCTTTCTGAAAATATCACTTTCTTAACATACAATTTTATTTTGACCAATTTTTATTTTATGCATTATGTGGTCTTTATTTTATTAATAAAATCTGTACCATTAATCATATTTATCCCTGTGCTTTTAAATCAAAGAAGTCCAAAATAGGGCCCACTGGCCTAAGTATCCTTTAATTTGGCCCTCCATCACACATGAGACAAGAGTGATGGGGAGGGTTGGCCGAATGCCTTTAACAGAGATCGTAATTTCTAAATTAACAATTCTTTTTTTGTTTGTTTTATTTCTGAGCTACAAAAAATGCTGTAAATGAATCTGATTTTGGGGCGTCACAGTGGCGCAGTAGGTAGTGCTGACGCCTTACAGCAAGAAGGTCGCTGGTTCGAGCCTCGGCTGGGTCAGTTGGCATTTCTGTGTGGAGTTTGCATGTTCTCCTTGTGCTCGCCAGGGTTTCCCCCAATTTCCCCCACAGTCCAAAGACATGCGGTACAGGTAAATTGGGTAGGCTTAATTGTCCGTAGTGTATGTGTGCGTGTTTGAATGAGTGTGTGTGGATGTTTCCCAAAGATGGGTTGTGGCTGAAAGGGCATCCGCTGCGTAAAAACATGCTGGTGGTTCATTAATAAAGGGAATAAGCTGAAAAGAATGAATCTGATTTTTACACAATACTGTCACTCAATGGATAGAGGACAATGCAGAACACATTGGCAAGCAAATCAAGGCCAAAAACAAGTGTACCTTGACTATATCCGTTCTGTTATAAATTGGATTGATTTTTTTTTTTTTACTATAGTAAGTTTATTATAAAATGTATAAATATGTACTGCATCAGATAATATAAAACAATGTTTTCTAGTTATTTTTGAATATTAAATAAATTAGTAAATCACCAAGAGCAACTTTAATAAATTTTGCCATATTTAGCTTTGACCCACAGCCCTCAATCAAGTTTGGTTTTTGGGCCTTCATATGAAAAAGCACCTGTGATTTAAATATTTGCGAATATTTCAGTGAACAAACTAAATATGCTGTAAGCATTTGAATATTTGCTGAAGTGACAATATTATATTTTTGTACTCTTAAACAACACAACCATAAAAACAGCAGAAAGTAATTGATTTAACTGATTTTCCAGTCATTTACGTACTCAGTTCAGTTTGTTTTGCTTGTAGTTTTACTATTGTGCTATAGGCCAAAACAACTGTTGGTATCAAAATCCAATAGTAAAAAATGTTGATCAAATCAAAACTATGAAGCATCGAAAAACAAATATGCATTTAATAAATTAAAACGCGGTCAAGGTGTATTGAAATGGTACATTCCTTTCTTATTAACTTTCAGGTTCCCCCTATTATTATAGTGCATCCAGAGGCTCCGCCCCCCCAACTGCTGCCACTGCCTATGACCGCCACTAGTTACCATGCCAACCAAATGACCAGACACGCCCACCAACTCGGACTTCATATTCTGCCAGTGTGAGCAGAGCAGCTGATTGGACACATGTGGTCACATGATGAAGAACAGACCAATCGGGAACAGAAACAACTTCCGACGACAATTCGGCCAATCACGCGAGCTTCCACACTTGAGGAGGAAAACTGATAAATGAACTATACATGTATATCTATGGTAAATATGGTTTTTAAAACAATCTATGGGATAAACATCTGCTTTTATAATACTTTTGTATTTTGTTTTCGCATTCATTTTGATGGGTATTCATATTTAAAGTGGTGCTGGTGTTCGGATATACACTGAAATGAAGCTTTGGGCATTTTCATAACCATAACGTGTGTTTATACTGTAAAATAAATGCATTTACAGCATCTGAAGTGTAAATGCTACTATAAATGTGTCATAAATAGAGAAACCCACCTATTCTGTTAAATTTATTAGTTAAATGTTTAACGCAATGATCAAGTTACCGTATTTGACTAAAAGATTTGGTCAAAACAATTCAGCATTTTTTTATTAGCACAGTTTTTCAAAGTAAGAACATTTACAGATGCTGTAAAAGTGTTAATATGTCTTTCAGTCTCTTTCCAAATACATTCATTTGGCCACTTTATTAATAAATATCTACACAAATAATGGGCTAGACACTGAAATGAACAATATCAAGCTTTGGGCATGTTCGTGAATATAAAGTGTGTTTACAGTCAAATCTGTTTTAAGGGTAAATGCTATGAACACTCAAATATGGACAAACCCAACTGATGGGTTATATTTGTAAGTTAATTTGTGACCCTGGAGCACGAAACCAGTCTAACATTTCACAGGTATAAATTTGGTAATAAGGAAAAATACTTTAGATGGGTCAAAATAATTGATTTTTTAATGCCAAAAATCATCATGATATAATGTAAAGATCATGTACCATGACTATTAGAATATTATTTGCAAATTTCCTACTCTAAATATATTAATTTAAATATATATATATATATATATATATATATATATATATATATATATAAATTTTTTTTTTTTTACAATTTTTTGTAGTTGTATCTTAAACAAATATGATCTTATCCTATCAGAAAAAAAGTATACATCAATGCAAAGCTTATTTATCGTGCTTGCAGGTGATGAGTAAATCTGAATTACATCAAATTGACACTTATTATTATGTATTGTCAAATTTGTCCTATATTTGACTCCAAATTGTGAAAAAAAAAAAACAACAACAAAAAAACTGCATGCTCTAAGAAATTTTACGCTATTTAATATTCAAATTGGGTAAAATATGGAGACCCAAACATTGGGTTAAATTTTGTCACATAAATATAATTGAAAAAATTACTTCAAACTGCCAACAAAAAATGCTCATTAAGAAAATGTTAAATATTTTTATTGGTTTAATTAATTTGTGGATTTAATTAATTTGTTTATTTTTTTATTTTAATTGAGTTATTTCACAAAATTTTGCTTTTTATATATATATATATATATATATATATATATATATTTTTTTTTTTTTTTTTAATTTTTTTTTTTATTTGGTCGTATAAATATAATTAAAAAAATTAATCCAGCAGTTGGTCTGCATTACACACATAATTGGATTGATATCTACATATGTAAGAGCATATATACGTCATATATACGTGAGTATATCTTTCAGTGTTTACCCAAATACATAAAAGCATCCATTTTTTGTGAATACCTACAATACAAACACAATGAACGTGGGTCAATGCTTTCAAACGCATGGTTGTAGATTCTCCTTACAGGTTTCGCTCTCGGTGTGTGTGTGTGTGTGTGTGTGTGTGTGTGTGTCTCTGAAAAGCAGTAAAACAACTCTAAACTTTATGCTCAATGCACAGTAAAACAATGTGAACAGTATGCTCAAACTCAGCATGGAGAAATCAACAGAAATTCGGCCTTCTTTTCCCTCTGGACGCCACTTCTGTGAGAAACAATCAGACACGAACAAGAGAAAAAAGAAACGAGGTGATAAACTGACCTGCTGCTGAGGCCAGATTTGATTCTAAGTGGAAGACGCCTTTTTGTATGTGGTTTTTATAAAGACAGAGGCATCAGTGTGCATGGATTGTTTTCATTCATTATGCAGTTCTTTTTTTAAATGTGTTTATATCATTAATTTCTCAAGGGGGGGTTCAGTAAGTGTTAGCACTGATCGCATGATGCTGATTCTCTAAAATATCAAAATCAGGAGTTTTTCAGGTGATCAGCAAATGAGAAATGCTGATTCACTTTCACACTACTTGAAGGGGGTGTTCATAAGACATAATCAGGACATGGCACGTTATGAATATGAATGAGATTTTATGCATGCTTATGAGTGCTTATGCTTATCGATGGTCATTCGATTCGTAATTTTGAATGCGAAGAAGACATTGTTTCAGATTTGTTTGTTATGACAACATGACATTATCTAGATAACAAAACTTGTCATAAATCTGTCATAAACATGAATGTCTTAAGGACATTATAAATGTGTCAGGAATGTTATAACACCTTCATTAATATTTTTCTTGACCTCAAGTTATCATTAGGGATGGCTGATGTAAAACTGAGCTGACTAAAGTTATTCGAAACACTCAGTTCATGACTAAAGCGATTCAAAACACATTGGTCACGTGACTAAAGCGATTTGAAACACCTAGGTCATGTGACTAAAGTGATTCTAAACACCCAGGTCACGTAACTAAATCAATTGAAAACTCCCAGGTCACACACTAAAGCGATTCAAAACACCCAGGTCATGTGACTAAAGCGATTCAAAACACCTTGGTCACATGACTAAAGCAATCTGAAAAACCCAGGTCACGTGACTAAAGGGATTTGAAACATTTAGGTCACGTCACTAAAGCAATTCAAAGCACCAAGGTCATGTGACTAAAGTGATTCGAAACCCCCGGGTCACGTCACTAAATCAATTCGAAACACCCAGGTCACACACTAAAGCGATTCAAAAACACCCAGGTCATGTGACTAAAGCCATTCGAAAGACCTAGGTCACGTGTCTAAGGTGATTCGAAACATGCTGGTCACATGACAAAAGCGATTCAAAAAACCTTGGTCACGTGTCTAAAGCGATCTGAAAAACCCAAGTCACCTGACTAAAGTGATTTTAAACACCCAGGTCATGTGACTAAAGCAATTCGAAACATGCAGGTCATGTGACTAAAGTGATTTGAAACACCTACGTCACAAGACTAAGTCGATCACACCAAACGCTCATTTACATTCCAAAAACGCGAGGTTGCACCGCACCAAATTTTTGTTGACAAGAAAAAAATGAGCACAGTGCGCTTTATGTCGATAGGCAACGACTGAATCAGCTGGGTATTGTTCGAGAGTGTTGCTGTTGACATCAATAGAATTTTAATAATTACAAATATTGTGATTTTCTTTATTTGTGAAGTCATACAGCTCTGGATAACCCAAAACAGCAATCCCGACAAATACTCAATGTATTTTAATCTTGTTTATTTTTATGACCAAAACAAGACATATTTATTCACAAAGTGTTTATTTGGATGTCACACCTAATGTAAAACAAAACACGTCACAAGAACAGAGCGTTTAAAAACTCAATAGCTGCATCCCCTAGACTCGAACCCATTATCTCTGCATGCTCTGCATGTCTGGAACTCTCACCGCTCCACTAAATCACTTTCCACTAAACCTCAATTCCACAACGTGGGGTATAATTCCTTAATTTGCGTAACTGTTTCTGTGCTGAAGCTATTCCAGAGCAATACATTAAAAAATGACCACTAGGTGTCACTGTAGAGACGGTTTCAAAACGTTTCGAAGTTTCGACACATTTGCTTCGACTGTTTCATGAAGCCTCGCTCTGCCCACTACTACTTGTCATTAAATTGTATTCAAATAATAATGACGCTGTTATAAAATTATTTGTCAGAGTACTGATGCTTTTAATGAGAAAAATTAAAGACAAATTAATTAGTTCCACTGAAAAAAGTGATCTGAAAAATATTCATGACAACTATATCGTAACAATCATGTTTATGACAGACTTATGACAAGTTTTGCAGACTTGATAATGTCCAGTCGTCGTGACAAAGACTGATAAATTTGTTTGTGAAGTTCATCTCATCAACAATGTCATTGAGTGACTGAGACTCGGATTTACTAAATATCTTTAAGGCTTGCAAACAATTTATATGGGCTGAATTTTAACAAACAAATTAAATGTAGGTGACGTAGTGGCGCAGTAGGTAGTGCTGTCGTCTCACAGCAAGAAGGTCGCTGGTTCAAACCTCGGCTCAGATGGCATTTCTGTGTGGAGTTTGCATGTTCTCCCTGAGTTCGCGTGGGTTTCCTCCAGGTGCTCCGATTTACCCCACAGTCCAAAGACATGCGGTACAGGTGAATTGGGTAGGCTAAATTGTCCATAGTGTATGAGTGTGTGTGTGTGTGTGGATGTTTCCCAAAGATATGTTGTGGCTGGAAGGGCTCCGCTGCGTAAAAACGTGCTGGATAAGTTGGCGGTTCATTCCGCTGTGGCGACCCCGGATTAATAAAGGGACTAAGCCGACAAGAAAATTAATGAATGAATTATATGTAGTAATGTTAACCTTAGTTTGTTTAAATTCAGCCTATATAAATTGTTTGTAACCACAACCTTTAAAAAAAGTAGTAAATCCAACAAATGTTTTAAATATGCATTAAATCTCATTTACATTCACGTAATGTTACTTTATGACTATGAAAATTACATGACAGTCTTATAAGCACTCCCTTTAAGTAAAGTAAAATGTTACGCAGAAGCATTTTAGTGAATTCACCCCTTAAGGCTATTGCTTTCTTTGCACTATAGGTTGTGCTCTTTACGAGATCTCCTCTGTCTTGATTGAACAAACAGCGAACGTATTCAGTCTTCAATCAGATTGGATGCATTTCAGATTTTTGAGAAGAAATAAACATGTACTACTGATCAGACAAAGCACTTAAACCTCTAAATGTGTTTACAGAGTATGTAGCAGCTGTTCAGCTCATCAACAGATGGGTCGGTCACTGGTTATCGGCTTTACCATTTACTTTACAGAACTCAAAACATTTTGGGATCATCAAGCTGTTTCAATAATGCAAAAATAAAAAGGTTTGTTTGACGCTTTACGACAAGTGCAATTCAGCAAAGCATCCTTCATAATCACGTACTGTAAACTCAAACTACTGCAGTTCTATCGTATACGTTACAGTTGAGAGAATGTACTTGTGTCACATTTGCCAAAGACTTTTTTTCGTTGATGTCCATTTTTTATTTTACAGTCGTGCCGTTGCATTGTACAAACAGTATTATAGTAAGACATTTCCAAGATATGTACAAATCCTATGCAGAGCAAAGAAAAGCCGTTGTATGCATAAACTATAAAACTACTGACATGTTTGCTTTGTTCATTATTTATGTTATTTTGTGAAATAATACTTTTTAAAATTATTTTGTGTGAAATGTCATTTCTGTACTGTAAATACATTCTGATCAAATCTGAGCCCCCTCTCTCTGCTTTTATTTCTAATACAATAACTTTGAGCTTCTAAGTCCAAACAATATGTCTCCTAACTCAATGGTTCTCAAAGTGGGGGTCGGGACCCCCTGGGGGGTCGCGGGACAATGACAAGGGGTCGCTTGGTGATATCCAAAACTCAAATAAATTTTATTAAACTATTAGAATTACCATATTTTATTCATAACCGACAGAATATAGTTAATAGTTGCATTAAAGAAACAACAAAATAAAAATAACAATCAGCCATCAGCCTTTAATTTTAAAAGCAAAATATAATTAAATCCACAAATGACTTTAAAAAACATTATATGGCTAATAGACTGTTGCATTTTTGTGTTGTCAATAAGCTCATGTTTATATTTGCCTATAGTTGTGTCTGCAACGTTTACAAATTTACAGTACAACCACGTTGAAAAATGGGGGTCGCGAGCCA